GATGGATACAGGATGGACAAAACCATTTAGTACACCTCAGAAATATGTTCCATGCTATATTAGTACCCCTCTTGAGTTCACACCTTATTTAAACCTTGAGTTCACACTTTGCTCAACTTTCCTTTTGTGAGTTCCATTTTTTTCTTTCTGTAGATTAGTTTCATCAACTTTTCTTTTTGCTCTACGTTTTTTTCTTCTCATTCAGATTCTGTGGGGAATATGGGAAAACACCAGAACACCTTATCACTGAGTGCACCAAGACGACAACCGTTCCTGCCATGAACTTTGGTACGGCTGATGTCGAAGATGGAGAGTTGGCCTTTGTGGAACCGTCTCAGATACAATTGGCAACATTGGCTTTTGTTAAAGCCCTAAGAACCCCCCTCCAAAACATTATATATTCTACATGTTTAGCTTATACCACTCTCATTGTGACGTAATAAGTGAAAGTAAAACAAATATAAATGCTTATCTATACTAATATATAAAATCCTTAAGTGACTGACATACTGATTAATCACGATCCTGCTCAAACCACTCAACGTAAGAAGCTCAATTTTGGCATACAGGTTGATTCTAGGGTGTAGAAGCTTTGGTAGAGGTATAAGAAGGGATTTTTCGAAATTCCAGTTCCAAGAAGGTGAAACCACCCCTCAAATATTACAATATTTTTTATTTAAAAAACGGTCAAGTTTCCGAAAAAACGCTTAAACACGTATATTTTATTTTGTTTTCTACAAATTTTAAGATTTTTTAAAAATGTATACAGGGTGTTTCGAAAAATCTGGTCATTGATTAATCACGATCCTGCTTAAAGTGCTTGACGTAAAAAGCTGATTTTTGGAAAACAGATTGACTTTAGGGTGTAGAGGTTCGATAAAAAGGGATTTTTCGAAACTCGAATTCTAAGGGGGTGAAACTATCCCTCAAATATTAAAATATTTTTTATTCAAAAACCTGTGAGTTTTTCGGAAAAACTCTTAAACACGTATATTTTATTTTGTTGTTTTACATATTTTAAGATTTTTTATAAATGTATACATCAGGGTGTTTCATAAAATATGACCATTGAGTAATCACGATTCTGCTTAAACTGCTTGACGTTTAAAGCTGATTTTTGGCAAACGGATTGACTGTGGGGTGTAGAGGTTCGATAAGGAAGGGTTTCTCGAATCTCAAATTCCAAGAGGGTGAAAACGCCCCTCAAATATTTGTTATTTAAAAAACGGTTAGTCTTTCGGGAAAACGCTTGGACAAGCATAATTTATTTGGTTTTTTACATATTTTGAAATTTTTAAAAAAAATCATACAGGGTGTTCCAAAAAGTTGCGTAATTTCTTAACCACGATTCTGCTTAAACTGCTTGACTTAAAAAGCTTATTTTTGGCAAACGGATTTTTCGAAAGTCAAATTCCAACGAGATGAAACTACCTCTCAAATATTACCAAGTTATAAAATAATATCGCCATATTGTTTTTTCTCATGCTGACATAAATGTGAGAAAAATTTATCCAGTTTGTATGATAATGGAAATTCTTGCTTTGCTTTATCATCACCATTACAAATGATTAATTCGACGCGAACGAAGTCGCTGGTACACGCTAGTTAATAATAAGATTCTTATATCGTTTCTAAAATATTATAATAAGTCTCTTTGCAGACAATGTTAACCGTTATGTCCGGTTAAAAATTCATATGGCTCATACAATTTCGATCTAATTTTAGTCCATTTAAAACTGGTTGGGCTGGACTCACCCATTTTTTGAAACGACAAAACACCCACCGTTACATTTACCAGATTCCAACAATATTTCTAAGATATCTGGTTGATCTTAACCGGACTTGAAAGTGAGAAAAGAAATACACTTAGATGACATTTGGAGAAATATGAATATTTGAAAATCTATAGATAGATTTTTTGACCATTTTTTTAAGTTGACAGGTAATGACAGAATTGTCGTATAAAGAGCACATTACAAGAAGATGATTTGGTAATGAGCTTGAAAATTGTTTATTTTTAAATATGAAAATGAGATTGTTTTTAATACGTATAAACTCGGGGAAGAACTGGCAGATTTCAACGTGGGTTTTTCTACTTTCTCAATTGGTTTCGCAAATATTTCACCGGTATTTCCTTTTTATGCTCCGAGCTACTCCAGATATGTGTGAAAATTTAATGTTTTCTAAAAAATGCTAAATATATGCTATTAAACTTCAGTTCAGTATTATATTTTTAAGTCGTTCCCACTTAATATTCATTAACAGTTTAAATGAATATTTATTTGTCTATTTATTTATAAAGGTATATCATGTGTGATCAAAAAGTTTTATGATGTAGAATACTTCGATTTTCATTTTAAATAGCGTCTCAACTTTATTATTTTTTGACGTGTATACAGGGTGGCGCCTCTCATATGCCGCGGAGGCTCCAAGGAGAACGACAGTTTGTATTGAAATGAAATTTTGTGAGCATATGTAGGTTAATTCAGAGCACTTTTTAAAAATATAAAGAGTTCTACAGGGTGTCCCCAAAAAAATTTACATATCAAAGTTGTGTTTTTTGTAATGGAAGTATATGACTAAAATGTAAGGTTTTTGACATATTTGACATTTTCTAGAAATAAAGAACAATTTTTAAATTACAATAAAAGCTACCTAAACTGGAATTTAGTCGGTATAGCCTAATATAATAGTTAAAATATAGTTATATATAGTATAAATATAGTTAAATTAACTATTGTACTTTAAATCAAATTAAAACTTGATCCAAAAAGTTATACAGAGTGAGACAAAATTAATATTGAACATTGGTCGCCTTTAAAAGAATGTTACTCTTTTATTTTAAATGGAACACCCAGTATATTATTCCGATATTCAATGGAGAATTCATGTCTCTTCAAAATACTAATAAGGTTGCCTACCCCACAAGCAAAGATTTTCCTAAATATTTTCATTTACATGATTTGATATGAGTAGATCTTTATTAGGTATTTGATAAAATCTAGGTGGCTGTGATATGTCTGACGGTACTTCAACATACTGTCTAATTAGTCCAACTTTAACAACTAGTTATCATTTTGTGTCAGTTAAAACAAAAAAAATTCTTAGAAATTTGCCGAAAATGCAAACTTATCCTACATCAGAGAGAATTGATATGATTCTATTAGTTGGTGAATGCAGTGTGCATTCGCTTTAATAGAATACTTAAATGCTCCTGATTATTTTATCTAGTCTGGGTTTTTTTATCGGGATATGTTAAAGACAGTGTTTACAAAACTCTACCTATTAACTATTGTCGACAACATGAGAGAAATTATTGTAGTTGCTTTTCGAGGTAGAATTCCACATAAATGCCTTTTAAAATGAAAAGATTCTTTTGAAAAGACAATCATTTTATGCAGTTAACAGGAAAGGAAGCATTTTTGAGCATTTGATTTCATCTAGCTAATTTTTGTCACATAGTTATAGGTTTATATCTAGTTTTCATTCTATAATAATTAAAATATGTTTTAAACGTGTATCTTTTTATTACCGTTGAGTATTTTACTCTACAATATTTAATTTTTTGTTAAATTAACAAAAGGTATATTACACAGCCACCCTAGATTTTTTCAAATAATAAAGATCTACTGACGCAAAATCATAAAAATTAATAATAGTCCATATATCCCTCACCATATATCCCTCAATATCTAGGAAAATATTTGCCTGAGTGGTAGGCAACCTTAATAATATTTTGAAGATATATAAATTCCCCATTGAATACCGGAAAAATATACTGGATGTTCTATTTAAAATAAAGGAGTTACTTGCTTTTAAAAGTGGCTAATGTTCCATATTAATTTTGTCTCACCCTGTATAACTTTTCGGGTCAAATTTCAGTTTGGTTTAACATACAATGGTTACTGTAATTAAATATCAGGCTATACAAGGTCAACTAAAATTTAGGTAGCTATTATCAAAATTTAAAATTTACCCATCATTTTCACAAAATGTGAAATATGTCAAAATCCTTAGATTTTAGGTATATGCTTCTTTAATAAAACTCACCTTTATTTTTTTTTCTAGAAACCGAAAATCAATTAATATATAGGGTGTTCCATTAGAAAAAACACCGCAACAGCACACCGTCGCGCGTCGCGTCGGTCGGTCGCATTTCTCTCACTCCGACTTAATAAGATCCCTATGCGATTTACTTCCACACATGTAAATGCCGACCCAAAAGTAACAGTTGCCCAAGAACGGTAAACTAACAGGATTGCTCATCCTCATAAGACGTACGTTCGCCTCTTCCCGCGCTTCAGCTGACAGTTGTGACGTCATTGTAGCCCTTGTCAAAGCCTTCGTGGCCTTGTAATGATAGTGTGTATTATTAGTTGCCTATGGTAAACTTATAAAAATAACAGCTGAGAAATTTTGAGTTAATTATTTTGTCAATTTTAAATGTGAAAAAGGTGTCTTTAAAGTTTTTAGAGCTATAGAGTGTATAAATACGTTCATTTTGTGTTGTGGATTGTGACAAAGTGCATACTAAGTGCCCACGATTTTGTTTATTAATTATTTTAAAGCAAAATATGGAAGTACTCTAAAAAGAATGCTTGCAAAAGGTGATGCTGGGACCTGCTGTTCTTAAAAATGCATTATCCGAGTATTTAATACGATTTCTACAGTTAATTTTCTTTACTGCATACATATAAGGTGTTTAAATAAATAAACTAAATAATGAACGTTATGCATTCGGTAACCAATAATGCACGTGTGTGTATTATTGGTTGCCGGATAAGGACTAATAACAAAATAACCATGACAAGGGCTACAATGACGTCACAAAGCGAGTAGTTTTCGCATGCACCTGGCGGACACTTTTGGCTGAATGAGCAGTCCTATTAAGTTAACTGTTCTTGACAGTTGCCAGCATGGTATGAAAAGACAAAAATTAAAAGACGTTTGAATTTAAGTATGTTTGTAATTTATTAATTTTGTAAAAAAAAACAACCAAATTCAATTGTGTTATTTATTATAATTTATCTATATCAATAAAAACTATCTATTAAACTATCCACTCAACGGTACAAATGATCCGCGTGGATGTTGGAAGCTATTTCTGATTCCCATTTGTCCCCATTATTTAAAAGTTTTTCTTTATTGTACAGCAATTCTTCGTGAGTTTCGGTGGAAAATTCGAAATTCGGTCCTTCAACGATGGCATCAACTGGGCACGCCTCTTGACAAAAACCACAGTAAATGCACTTGGTCATGTCAATATCATAACGAGTAGTTCTTCTCGATCCGTCAGCCCTCTCTTCAGCTTCAATGGTAATGGCCTAAAAATTTACAGTACCAATGTAAAAATCGTTATCATGTGAGTTGTCTATACAGGCCCGGCAATTGATCTCTAGGCATAGGAATTACATGCATTGGAATGAAACGCCTATAAAAAATCTATGCTTAAACAGAGATGGACAACAACTTCCCCGTTTCCACTTCCACTACGACTGTCTACTTAGACAAACTCCAATAAGATAACAAATTTTGGAAATTCCGCCACCTCCCATCCACTCATGATACCCACCTCCCTGCCCTTTATTTATCGCCATTATTTTATTTCCCTTCCCGCGCCTCCGCACCTCACTATTCCGACTACCGTCAGTTCATCACAGAGTTGCCAGGTCTACCGGTTTCGTCTGTAAGCTACCGATCTACCGATTTAAAGAAAAATCTAACGATATATTCAACTGCGTCTTTAGTTTTTAGAATAGAAGCATTTTTAAAAAGCTGACTTATTTGACTAAAAATTAAGCGACTGCCGCGTTGGAATCTGTATAATCTGACTTTATTATTGTTTCATTAAATTTTATTTAGTAATAACACACATCGTTCTGTCTAGTTGCAGAGTTACAGAGATATTCCTAAAAATCCTTATTACTCCTTATTAGGCGCGGTATTGGCGACATGCCCGAAGAAGTTGATATCTTTTGAAAAGATTTTATTTCATTCATCTACTTGTTGAACCCATATTTTCCCCCAAAAAAATGTAAACAAAAAACAAAATTTAAGTTAAGAAACAACCTAAATTCGGACAAATATTTTAGTGATTTTCCCGTCAAAAAATATATTAATATGAAAAGAGTTGAGAGTTGCTACAGCTTTCCCATTGAAATGAAATTAATTTTAGATATCACTGATCAAAATTTGTACAAAGGTAAAAAGTGACTGCTACACTAATTTGTGACTGCTATCCCTACTTGTTATAGTTTTATATGTTTTTATTAATATATTAATATTATTTAATTCAATATTTTTTTTAATATCAAATAATATACCTAGCTATTTCTAATTCTTGTTATATTTATTATATTTGTATTTTATTTGAGTGATCTATTATTACGACACATAGGAATGCTAATTTTGGACTTAAATATTATATTTTATTTCGTTTCTGTACTTTTAATTTTTGTTGAAGATCTACCGAGAATTTTGTTCTCGTATGGAATTATAATCTAACCAACCCGGCAACCCTGTTCGGCTACTCCTTATAAAGTTTTTTTCGGCCTAATTCCTTTGTCACAGCCGCGGCTTTGTCAAGCGCCGCCGCCGACCGACTGTGTCGGGGCGACTGCTAGGAAGATCGTACAGTATTGCCATTTCATAGAATTGCACTTGCTATTTTAGAAATGATTTCAAAGTTTTGCATGTTACTTTTCGTTTTAGAAAGAAGTTATGTGCCTAGAGAAAACATTCTTAAAATTGTTTCGTACTTTATTTAATATTTCATTAAGTAGGCAAGATAATGGGATTAGAAGATTTAGGATTTTGACAAGCCAACATAATTTCGATTTAATTGAATGGCAACACTGTCCGTCCTGTTTCTATTTTTTCGATTCTGTTCTATTAGTAGGCGGTAGCCCCCACACAAGCGTCTTAAAGACCCGCCCGGCGCCCCCTCTCGCAGGGGCTCTCTCGTCGTATCACTTCTATGATCACTTCCCCTATACGATGGTAGGGAAAAGACACTTTATCCGTCTCTGTTGCACTGCAGTGTATTTTGCAGCCTTACCATCTTTTTTTATCGCATTGAAAACCTCCTATTGCTAATATTCCTTTGCCAGCAGTGTATATTATGACAAAGCCACGATTTCAATATTATTTTAATGCAACATGATGACGCATGGCGGCGTGAAATACATACTGATGATTTCTGCCGTTAAAGCGCTGCGGTCGGAATTTGTTGAAATCAACTGAGATGTACCAAGCCTATAGACGTATTTAAGTTTTTAAACCAAATAATGCACTAAAGTTTTTCTATTTACTAAATACTGTGTGTGAGTGCGCCAAGACGACAACCATTCGTGCCATGAACTTTGGTACGACTGATATTGGAGATGGAGAACTACCCTCTGTAAAACCGTCTCAGATACTGGCTTTTGTCAAAGCCCTGGGACTGTATGATGAGTTATAACTCAAGAAAGGGGGACACAATAGACCTGTAAGGTCGCAGTGATTAACCCCCCTCCCACTCATTCTAAATTCTAAATACTGTGCTGCAATAGTAAAACTAATACTACCTTATACAGAGTGTCTAAAAAATATTCTAATTATACAGGGTTGTTCACCACATACGCCACGGAGTATTGTAGCTAAACGATTAGATTTTTACAAATTGTAAGTTTTGGGTTCGTTGAAGGACTATTAGAGCTACAATTTAAAAATATTTTTATAAGATACAGAGTGTCCCAAATAAACAAAAAATATCAAAGTTGTATTTTTTTAAATGGAACACCCTGTATATTATTACATTTTTAGTTTCTACGATTAAAACCTTACCGTTTTTGAAATATTTTCAATTTTGTGAAATAGCAGTAAAAATTTTAAGGCTTTATTTCTCCAAGGGTATCAAAGTTTTTAATACTAAATATTTACTGAAGTCTATTTATTGATCAGTTATTGTGTTGCAATAATAAAAATAATACTACCTGATACAGAGTGTCTAAAAATTTATTTTAAATTATTTCTACCTTTAAATGGCAATAACTTGTTTAATTTAAATGGAACGCCCTGTATATTTTATGAAAATCAGATGCACAATTTAACTGTCTATCAAATTGTATTATACCACTTTTTACCTATCCCTTCAAGTTTTCGTAGAAAATGCATTTTCTTATAATTTAGACATCATTTATCAATATACTCATGGAATATTGACATTTTCGATTGTTTTTAAAGCAAACAAATGTACACAATGTACAGGCTAGTAATATTATCGTTTTTAGCAAAATGATAATATTACTAGCCCATTTGTATGCAAAAAGAAAACTATTTAAATCTTTATAAAAGAGTATACCATTAATTAAATATACCACCATTATTTCCGCCCAAATACTAATTAATTACACACTTAATTATGTTCGTTAATAAATTATTCTAAATAAATGTGGATTTGAATCAGAAATCAATATAATAATAAGTTATAAAAATGAATGTCTCTGTTGTTATAAATAAGCATTTGTCAAAAAATCAAATAAGATGTTACTTTTTACCACACTGTCTAATACACATACAAAATTCAGTTTTTTAGTATTTGGAGCAATTATTATTAATCAACGCTAACAGTCAATTAATGTAGTTAGAATACTGGAATCATATTAATTGGTACTCTTTAACAAATATTTAAACAGTTTTTTTTTAAATTTCTTAATGGAATAAACAAACTATATCGACAATATTAGTATCTGTACTCTTTAAAAATTTGGTACATCTTTAAAAATAATCTAAAATGTCAGTATTCCATGGGTATATTGATAAATGAGTTTTAAATTATAAGAAAATGCATTTTCTACGGAAACTTGAAGAGATAGGTAAAAAATGGTATAATACAATTTGATAGAAAATTAAATTGTGCATCTGATTCTCATAAAATATACAGGGTGTTCCATTTAAATTAATCAAGTTATTGCCATTTAAAGCTAGTAAATATTTAGAATAAAATTTTAGACACTCTGTATAAGGTAGTATAATTTTTATTATTGCAACCCAATAACTGATCAATAAATAAACTTCAGTAAATATTTAGTATTAAAAACATTGATACTCTTGGAGAAATGAAGCCTTAAAATTTTGACTGCAATTTCACGAAATTGAAAATATTTCAAAAAACGGTAAGATTAAAGTGCGGTAAACCTTAATCAAATTTACCTTTATTTTAATCGTAGAAACTAAAAATGTAATAATATACAGGGTGTTCTATTTAAAAAAATACAACTTTGATATTTTTTATTTATTTGGAACACTCTGTATTTTGTAAAAATATTTTTAAATTGTAGCTCTAATGGTCCTTCAACGAACCCAAAACTTACATTTTGTAAAAATCTAACCGTTTAGCTACAATACTCCGTGTCGTATGTGGTGAACAACCCTGTATTACTATTTTTAACTATCTCTTTGGGCTTTTGTAGAAAATGCATATTATTGTAACACAAACTTTATTAATTGTTATTAATTAATATTTATGAATATACCCATGAAATCTTGACATTTCAGATTATTTTTAAAGATGTAACAAATTTAGTAATACTAGACGAGTACAGATACTAATACAACAAAAATTTAGCTTATAAAAAAACTTCAGTAACATTTGGTTTTAAAAATATAAAACACCTAGAGAAATGAAGCATTAAAATTGTTAATGCATTTTCACAAAATCATAAATACTTCAAAAATGGTAATATTAAAGTGCAGTAAACTTTAATCAAATTTATCTTTATTGTAATCATAGAAACTGAAAATCTAATAATATACAGGGTGTTTAATTTAAAAAATACAATTTTGATATTTTTTATTTATTTGGGACACTGTACCTTTCGCATATATAATTTTAAATTGTAGATTTAGTGCTAAAATATCTAATATTTGGCTACAATACTGCGTGTCGAATAGCGTGGATAACCCTGTATAGTCTTAGAAGTGTGAATGAAAAAGCTAAATAAAAGAAATATATAAATTTACTTGAGCTGGACATATGGCTTCACACAATTTACATGCGATGCATCTCTCTTCTCCTGAAGGATAACGTCTCAAAGCGTGTTCACCTCTAAAACGTGGACTAAGAGGTCCCTTTTCGAATGGGTAATTAATCGTTGCAGGTTCTTTGAAAATATGACCCAAAGTCACACCGAATCCTCTCAATATTTCAGTGACGAATAAAGTTTGTGCAGCCCTATCTATAAAACGTGAATTAAACATGGAAATCTTATTATATAAACGCGTCGTGTACCAGTAATATCACTAAGCTCCATTGATGGGTCCACATTATTGACGTATATGTATCCATCTTTTGGAGCACTGCCTGCGAAACGCTGATTGACTAAGCTTAGAGCTGGCGTAATAGCTCTAGCACCTGCAAAACAATTTCAACGTAAAGGCAAAAGTATATTATATTGTTTAAAAATAATAAAATCCTTCACAATGCCTATTACTTATAGGTTATAAATCTATAAATAAACCATAATATTTAAATGAATTGCCGAATTAATATATATTTCGTAAATATAGTTACCTGTCCTAGATACAGTAAATAATTTAACAAGCGTGGAACTCATTTTTCTTGTAAATAAGTTAGAATAAAATAAACTTGGTGCAGAGATTTGATGTTATGTCATCAGCTGATCATGGATCATACAGGCGCGTTCACCATAAATAAAAATAAAATTCTAATTTATATCCTTAAACAGCATAACATACTTAAACAGGCTTAAACTATAAAGAATTAATATAAAATTAGAATACCTATTTTGAATATAAATAAATCAGTTAAAGAGTTATCAAAGCCTATTTCATCTTAAAAAGATAAAAAAAATACCTACCCACCATCCACCATTGTCATAAGCTTTTATTTATAGTTATTCTGTGTTTATAGCGTTTGTATAGCTTATATAAGACCAACTCATGATCGATTGAAGTATTTTAATTATACATATAAATAAATGAAATTATTAATAAATAAAAAAAATATTAAAAATGCTTTAATTTTTTAAATGTAGAATCGCCTTTACAAAGCGCCCAATCAGAAATCTGCATTTAATCACGTGATGATGATAATCTGATTGTCAAAAACTGACAAAAACAGGGAAAAAAATCATTTGTAAAATGGTGAAAAAGTTGATATATTTTTAAATAAACTTGCAGTTAATCCAACTAGAGGTTTATTTTATATTTTTTTCTGTGTAGAATTATTAAGACGTAAATTAATGATTGTCGGCTTAAATATTATAGATAAGTTAAAGTTTTTGGGTGTTCAAAATTCAAAACCGCTTGCAAAAGTTCTAACCTATTAAAGTTTATTTTGAGAAAATGTCTCGGCACGTGCAAAATACCGATCCTTCCGTGTTAGAAAGAAGACTACGGCCTATTTATGGTAAATATATTTACAATTTTTCTATAAACAGGCATTTGATTCCTACTGTGATTTTCTAGTTATCGAAAAATAATTACATTACACCTCAACTGATCGACGGTCTTTATAACTTTTAGATTGGCTGGATTCAGGAAATAATAAAAAAGCACTGCAGGAATGTGAGAAAGTATTGAAGAAGACCCCGAATCTTCATTGTGCAAAAGCATTAAAAGCTTTAACATTACATAGGATGGGAAGGGAACAGGAAACTAATGTGATTTTAGACAATCTTGCTAGTGAAGTACCTACAGAGGAAGCCACTTTACAGGCAATGGCATTATGTTATCGGGAAATGCAACAAGGTATATTTTTAAGGCGGCTGTTAATATTTTTACTGTATATATATATTGTGTTTTAGTTGAGAAAATCAGTAAGCTTTATGAAACAGCAGTTAAACTGAACCCAACCAATGAAGAATTACATACCCATTTATTTATGACCTATGTTAGGATTGGCAATTTCAAAGCACAGCAACAAAGTGCTATGGCTCTATATAAACAAAAACCAAAAAATCCATATTATTGTTGGATCGTAATGAGTATTATACTTCAAGCCAGAAGAGGCGAGGGTATGTAATAAAGAAACTTAGAATTATATTATAATTGGACATATTATTTCCAGGAGCTAATGATGAGAAAAAAAGAAAAGTGCTGCTAAATCTCGCAGAGAGAATGATGGAAAAATTAGTGAATGATAATAAGATGGAAGCCGAACAAGAGGTGATTTATAAATTATTGTTATGTTACAATTAAATAAATTTATATTATTTTGGTTTAGGTCCAGTTGTATATTATGGTTTTAGAAATGCAATTAGAATATGAAAAAATTCTGGACCTAGTAGATGGTCCGTTGGGTGAAAAATTGCAATGTTCAGATTTGTCTATTTTAAAACTACTATATTTAAAAAAGCTACAGAGATGGCAACAAGTGAACTCATTATGTAAAATTATATTAAGCGATAAGTGAGTATGACCAGTATATTGTTTTCTATGAATGATTTTTAATTTCTCTAGTTTTGATAAATGGAATGTATGGAAAACCTATATTGCTTCTGTTTTTGATTTATATGAAACGGGTGTTAATGGCAATGGACCCAGCGACGTAGAGAATGATGTGGATAGTTTCGACAATACACCCGAAAAATGTCATGAATTTATTTGTGGCATTATAGAAGATGGTGCAGAAAACAGTGAGTAAAAAATCTAAAACAATTTTGATAATTATTACATGCAATAATTTATTTTAACAGGTTTTTTGTTAAGGGCTCCATATTTAGCTAGATTTGAATTGTGTTCTAAACTCCAAGAAAAGAATATCAAGACTGAAGATATTTTGGGTGATAAAATAGAATTATTCATTGAGTATTTTAGGAAGTTTGGACACAAATCCTGTTGCGTTTTTGACTTAAAAATTTATTTAAAAGTGCTCGATGCAGAACAGAAGTCGGAGCTGGCGACAAAATTAATCAAAGAAGTGGGAATTGGATCAACTAGTGTCCCGCAGTCTGTGAGTACAATTAATACACATTTAATTTTGTTTAAAAAAATGTAGATGTAGGTATTTAATTGGTTAATACTTAATATATATTATTTACAATTTAAAGTAATTAATTAAATTTATATTCCATTTTAAACAAAGTTGAAAAAATACATGTTTTTTTATTTTTAAATAAAACTTTTTTTGTCATCAATAAGAAGTTATGCCATCACAGTTATGTACTATTTCTCTACTATGGAGTTGATCTTTTTTTTTCTAAGCAATATTGGGTTCAGGTGATTATTTTGTTTTTATTCTTTTAGTATTACAGTTATTTTTTTATTAAACAGTTGAAATAAAGAGTTTTATCTTATTTTGTTGAAAAAAGACAACTACACACGAAACATTCATAAAACAGAGTTTTAAACATGTTTTAAATAGTATTAAACCTTTGAATAAAATGATTAAGGAAAGTGTATAATGCTATCCATGTATTCACAATGGGAGACAGAATTAACATCATAGGTCTCCATGTCTCCATCCTTGACAGCATCTAGATAGTTCTCTTTGACGTTTCAATTGGAACATTTGAATTTGATTTGAAATTTTTATTTATATTTTCACACCTTTCAAATAAAATTACGTTAATGATAAACTGGAATTTAAGTCAGCAATATTAGGTCCCCGTCGCACTCCACTTAAGTTTTTTGGTATACTCCTTTCATAATCTTTTTATTCAAAGTATTAAACAAATATTAAAACAAGTTTAATACAAGTTTTAAACAAAATGTAATGAAATGTATGTTCATAACCATAAATATTTTGTATAAAATATTGGAGGGATTGGGAACTGATACTGAAATTTTTTGGTATAGTATGTTATCTTATACAGGGTCCGGCAATAGTGCGTCGGGCATCTGTAGCTCATAGAATAAAATACTTGAGAATTTTGTTTTAGTGCAAACCTAAAGTATGTACCAGGATGTATTTCAGGAAAATATTTTAACTTCTATAGGGTGACTCAAAAAAGTGTGGGTGGACGTGGATGATTTTTTTTAAATGGAACACCCTGTATATTATTGCATTTTTGGGTTTCTTTCAGATTACTTTACATACACCTAAAATATAAATAAATATATTTCGATAGTTTCAGAGATATTAAAAAATAAATCAAAAATATATATTTTTCAGCCCTTCTTAAAAAAATTATTAAAAATACAAGAACTGTTCTGAAATCAAAACTATATTAGGTATTTACTTTAGATAGTGGAGTTGATCTTTTTTTTTTCTAAGCAATATTAACTAGGTGATTATTTTGTTTTTTATTCTTTAGTATTACAGTTATTTTTTTATTAAACAGTTGAAAAGAGTTTTATCTTATTTTGTTGAAAGACCACATTAATGAAACATTCATAAACAGAGTTTTTTAAACATGTTTTAAATAGTATTAAACCTTTTGAATAAAATGATTATGAAAGTATAATGCTATCCATGTATTCACAATGGGAGACAGAATTAACATCATAGGTCTCCATGTCTCCATCCTTGACAGCATCTAGATAGTTCCTTTGACGTTTCATTGAACATTTGAATTTGATTTAAATTTTTATTTATTTTCACACCTTTCAAATAAAATTACGTTAATGATAAACTGGAATTTAAGTCAGCAATATTAGGTCCCATAGGCTATTTTGATTCGGAAACTAATATCCAAAAAATGCAAAAAATATACAGGGTGTTCCATTTAAAAAAAATCATCTAGGTCCACTCACACTTTTTTGAGCCATCCTATAGAAGTTAAAATATTTTCCTGAAATACATCCTGATACATACTTTAGGTTTGCACTTAAACAAAATCGTCAAGTTTTTTATTCTAGGAGCTACAGATGCCCGACGCACTATTGCCGGACCCTGTATGTGTCATACTAAAATTTTAGGCCGATCAAATGCAAAGTCATATAGGAGCACTTCAACTGGCCCGCCTAAGCGGGGGACATCGGAATTTATCCACAGAACACCTTAGAGCCCTTGTTACCGCCTTAACCCTACATTATCAACACGGGTACCAATCGTATGGCAAGGACTTGCCATCAACCGATCTTGGGCCTTCAGATAACTACGCCATAATGGCGGCGCATATTCTATTCGATTTGTCGAAAAAGGAAGACGGTTCTGATTCTTTGATTTCAGCATTGGCATTGCTGGAGAGTTTCCTGACGAATTCTCCCAGTAATTTTCATGCTAAACTCCTGGCTCTGAAATATTATCATATTTTAGGTAAGTTTGTAAGATTTATATGTTTTATAAATAGTGTTTACAGATATTTTCCACATCATATGGAACTTTTTTTATTTATTGACTGAATGTTTTTTTTTCATTATGTATCTTTGGTTTAAAGGAGCTGTAATGGAAGCAAATAGTCTATACTATCTATTGGATATAAAGCATCTACAACTGGATTCATTAGGGTATGTTCATTGTGGACGTTTGGCAACTACAGGCCTGTACTCCTTGTGTGCAATACATTTTGATACCACGTTGAAATTTTTCTCTTCAAATTACAAAGATGTAAGTACCATTCTTCTATCCCTTATAAAATAATATCTTTTTACTACTTTCCACAAATCATCGCAAAACTGATAGTATATTCATGAAATTATACTATAAATATCGTATGATCGAAAAAAACCGGCGTCCAGTTGGCTTAAAAATGTCGATCAGTGACATTTCCCATATAATTTTACATACAGAGTGGCCCATCGAAAACGTTCAGCAAGACATAACGGCCAGGATATTTTTTTTTTCAAAAAATCCAAAAACACGTCAATTTTGTTTGTGAGGGGGACAACTTTTGCCCCAAAAATGATTGCAAAATCTTCAATCCTCTAAGCCGGGGTGTCATCCCCCAACTTTTTTCAAATGGGAAGGGGGTCAAGTGGCGCCGCAATGAAAAGAGCTTTCTATTCTCTATATTTCCCCTCTTCGTTTTTGAAAATCGGTCGAGTCATTGAGAAAATATGAAGGATTCAAATTTGAAAAGTTTATTTAAACATTTATCAGAGTAAATGATAAGGATAAATTCCTTTGACCAATTTGTTGTTTTTTCTTATTATTTCTAGATGTTTACGCATTTTTTCACTTGCCACAAGGTTGAACGATCAGGTGCGGTCTCAATATCGTTAAACTGACCCACAATAGAATTTCCAAAAATACCAGCCCGCGACGATCAAAATCGTCTTCGTTGAGTTCTTGTACCAACTGAATTTTGTACGGGTGGAACTTGTGTTTTTTTAATATCGTTTGGACACTTATACGATTCACGCCGGTCGCGGCCTTATTGGCTAATTTTTTTGTACTCAGCGTACTACCCATGGCAACTTGGCCCAATACGAATACCTCCATAGCTTCATTTACTACAGGATTTTCCCTCTGCTTCTTTTTATTCATAACGGAACCAGTTTCGTGAAATTTTGCTACTAAATCGCGAACAATTTTGCCATAAAGGTGTTTGTCAGGATGGCGTTTATTGAATATCTGCGCAAACCGATTGCCACATTCATTATTTTTAAAATAAAGTTCGATTATATCCACTTTTTCTGCAAGTGAGTACACCATAATTGTTAAAAAGTTTAACGATATTGAGAAGAACTTCAACGCACAAGTCACAGAACAGCTATCTAGCAACTGCCGCACCTGATCGTTCAACCTTGTGGCAAGTGAAAAAATGCTAAACATCTAGAAATAATGAAAAAACAGCAAATTGGTCGAAGGAATTTATCCTTATCATTTAGTCTGATAAATGTTTAAATAAACTTTTCAAATTTCAATCCTTCATATTTTCTCAATGACTCGACCGATTTTCAAAAACGAAGCGGGGAAATATAGAGAATAGAAAGCTCTTTTCATTGCGGCGCCACTTGACCCCCCTTCCCATTTGAAAAAAGTTGGGTGATGACACCCCCGCTTAGAAGGTTGAAGATTTTGCAATCATTTTTGGGGCAAAAGTTGTCCCCCTCACAAACAAAATTGTCGTGTTTTGGGATTTTCTGAAAAAAAATTACCCTGGCCGTTATGCCTTGCGGAACGTTTTCGATGGGCCACCCTGTATAAAACGACAGCGATCTTTTCATAGCCATCGTTGACTCCGTTTTTATTCCATCATACGGTATGTATATGATTTACATTTTCAATATTTTATCACCCAATACGACTTGCATGTGTATTACTGCCAGTTGTAAAATGACATTTTTTATTGTTATTGGCTAAACTAAAAAATTCCAATACATAACCATTTTTTCAATAACTCAGTAATAAAAGGATTAAGTAACTTTCTGTTAGGCTTAAAATCCCACCGCTGCCACCAAATTTTATGTAACAAAACTTTGAAGATTTGTTCGTTATTATAGTAGTGTGGCCTTTATACCGGGTGCGTCTGAAAAGTGGCCCACCCCAATAACTTTTATTTTTTCAAAAAAAAAACGAGATTTGGTATATTAGTATATGACATAAATTACGATTGATTGACGTATTCAATTGTTTTCAGTCACCTGTTTTACCGGAAATGACTACAACTTTTAATTTTTAAATGGCACCCTTGGTATTTTTTTCTTTGTTCCTCTCATTTGGAACCTTATTCCATTTGAAAAAATTAGATTTGAGATATGATTAAAAATACGATTTGGTCATCTTTTAACTGGCCAGGACAAGAAATTAAAAACATTAGACAATCAGATATATTTTTCCAAGGCTCCTTGATAAAAAATTAGTGTTTTTAACACAGCCATGGCACTCTTTCATTGAAATTTAAAATACAATTTTTTAAAGCGAGAATGTCAAAAGTTGACCTGATATGTCATTCTATTCAGAGTGTCATTTTCTATCGAATAAAGTAAAAAAATACCAAGATTGCCATTTAAAAATCAGAAGTTGTAGTCATTTCCGGTGAAATAGTAAGTGACCAAAAACAAATGAATATGCCAATCAATGCTAATTTTTGTGATATACTAACATACCAAATTTCGTTCTTCTATCTGAAAAAATAAAAAAAAATATATAAGCGTAAGCCACTTTTGAGACGGACCCGGTATAACTATCTTAACTATAATTATAAGAAGGTCACACTACCATAATAACGAACAAATCTTCAACGTTTTGTCACATCATACTAAGAGGGTTAGGACAAATCTGTGTGTAGATCATTAGTTTCATAAAAAAGTAGCATAGTGATATGAAAACCGCATCTTTGTATATTTACTCATAAACGAAAAACCCTGTAAAACACGCGAAAATGGGTCACCCTGTACTTATAGGTTAAAAGTAACTTAATGAGTTAACTTTAGTTAACTAATAGTTAGTAGTTTAGTTAATTAAGTTTACAAATTCGGGTCAATTTTTGGACCCGAGCAGATGAGAACGATTCTTAACGTTATTTGATGCCCTGACCTCAGATCTTAAATCCGTTTGTCAAGATTGGCTCTAGTTTTCGAGTTCGCGCATGGCAGTAGCACTGCGCTCTTATAACGGCCCGGGTAGTTGACGCATACCCACAGGACGTTTTACTGCCACCTCTTCACATTAAACTTGGCCTTATTAAGAACTTTGTCAACGTTTACAAAATGTTTAACGCTTGATGAGGCAGCAGCATGGGCATCGTTTCAAAGTGTTGTTCACAACTTTCTCGGTAATCATAAATCACCGGATTACAAGCAAAATTACCACAAGATTGGGGCTTGAATGTCTCTCAAGATACATTTTCTGCATTCACATCTTGATTTTGTTTCCACAAAACTTGGGCGACACGAGCGACGAGCAAGGAGAGCAGCTACACCAAGATATAGCGAAAATCGAAAGGCGATACTAAGGATTTTGGGACGATGAGCGATTACTGTTGGACCCTAATCCGTGAAACAGATTCCAAGCAGTATAAAAGACTCAGTTCAACCTCTGTTCATTTCTGATTTATATTGTTTAATTCAATAAATGACCGTTAACGGTCAAAAATAATAAAATAATGAATTTATTGAATATTTCGAAAACTAGAACCAATCTTAAAAAATGGACGGCTGATTTGGATTCAGCTACAAAAATTATCTTAGAAATTGCTTTTAGTTGCTCAGGTCCAAAACCGTGTATACTTGTGATTATTTAGTGTTTTATTGGATTAAACTTTTTTAGAGTACAGATCATTTGACGTTTTCCTACAAGTTCGGATCATTCATGAAACTAGACGAATTTATGGACTTCCGGGAAAAACTTAACAATAGTTTGCACTATACCACTACTGTAGTTGATAGGATAGTTTTAAGTCTAGTCGATTGTTCTACTTTAGACGGAATATACAATGTTGACATATCTTTTAAGGAAAACAAAATCGAATGGGATAAGTTAAGGTAAAAAAAAAACAAAGGAATATAATATTTACTTATACAATAAATTTTTTTAAATGTTTTAGGGATAATCGAGATCTTAGTGTGTACGTGAATTGGGAACCAGAGTTTGCCGAAAATGTGTTGGAGGAATCTGATGAAATCAAGACGCTTTTTGCTCAGGATCTCAATTTCTTGAAATTGAGAACGCACATACTCTGGTCTTTGAGTGCTGGACTCGAGGTATTGATTTTTTATTTATTAGTGCACTTTTACATAAAATTATTTTATTTTTAAGGTTTTGAGGTCAGTTGATGGTACAAGGCAGCAAAATATTGCGAGTATGAGACAAATTCTTAAAGACTGGGAAGATTTAGAAAATAATGTTAAGAAATGTGATTTAACGCCTATTAGTGAGGTAAAATTAATTTATTTTATTTCTTATAATTTTTGAAGTGAAACTTCTTACGTGCGCTGGGAGTAAAAATTCAATGACCCGGCACACGACAGGCGAGAGGAAAAGTGGCAAGGACAGTCTACAGCTTAGAAAAATTCGTCTGATTTAAATGAAATTTGGTATGTCGATAGATTGGACCAAGGCCTACTTAACCGTGTGCGACACGTGTGACTGTGACAGTTTTGACTTAAGAAACGTCAGAACTTGATGTCATCTGATGGCGACCAAATTTGGTGGGTAGGCTATGTGAGCGACGCACGGTGGGGTATTAGCATGAAAACGGTGATCGAAATTCGAAAAAGCAAATGTGTTTAAGATTTCCCAAAAAAGATAAATGATAAGTTAAATCATGTCTGCCATGAATGGCGTTGCTATGGGTGTGCTTAGTTGCATTCATTCGTTTCAACGAAACGTCAAAGTTGTTACTTCTCACAGATAAAAGGTAAATGGCTAAATTTTATATTTAAAATTATAAATTGTTGTTCTTGTGCTCTTTTTACGTTTATATTATTGTTTTGATTGAAAATGGCTCAGCAAGCTGCAGGTATGTATTCTACAAAAACGTATTATTTATTTTGATATTCTCTATACTAACGATTTTTTTTGCAACTAAAAGTTAGGCGTTCAGAAAATTTGATTAAATTTATGACATTTTTATTATACTTAGAGATTTAGTTGCGCATTTCGAAGAATTCAGCATATTGTCTATATACGTTTTACTTAGTAAACATTGGGCTTTCATACAGTAAAATAAAATACTGCGACTTTTTTGCGACTTTGCTGATAAAATGAGAAAAACATTCTTGGTTTCCTCTAATTTGCCAATCAGTGATATACTAATGCGAGGTGTAAACCGCGATGGCATTGTTGTGTACAAAGCGATCGCATTAGTGCCATTAGCAGTATAGCACAATTTGGCATTAGTAGCGACTTTAGTGGTATCGGCATTGCTCGCGGATCAGTCGTACCATTAGTAGTATTAGTTGCGATATTACTACTGGCATTAGTGGCATTGACCGTGGAATCGACGAATTATCCTTTATTTTGGTCATATTATTTCCTCCTTAATTGAAAATAGCAATAATTTATATAAGGTCTACATAAAAAAATTTCGATTAACTATCTGTGTCAAATACCCCACTGTGCGACGGTGCACATGGTTCCACCTTGCAAAGTTGGATACGACGTTTCGTTTACATCTTCAACAGGGTGGGACTAAGGATTTGATATTGAAGAAAAATGTGGGTCGATTTCGATATAATTGGGAACGGGTTACAGGATGACGGCCTCACCGATGTCTCTAAATGGACGAAATCATCAGGATTTTTTTAATTATAGGTCGATTGGAACCAAACTCGGCGCATGGATAGAAGTATCCAAATGGAGTGCCCAGATGGACAGACTGGCATTTTAATACAAATTTTGTGAAAGTGAATCAAATTATTTATTAATTTGTAATTTATTACTTTTTCAACAGTTCAAACGTTCAAACTACACTTTTTCATATATATCCTTCAAATCATTCAATTTAATAGCTGTTAGTAAGAAGTTTCACTTCAAATATGCGCACATAGTGCACACACAATTTTTTTTAATTTAAAATGTTTTCTTGTTACATTCCTACTAAAGACTCGTCTACACATAATGTTTTACCTGTCAGTCTTACCTGTTCAGGCAAAACGTATCAAGTAAAAGCTTATAGCTTATAGGCAAAAAAAACTGTTTTACTTGAAGTGAATTAAGACTGAGGACCGTTTAGAGAACTATGACGGGATCATTCAATTTTACAACAAAATTTCCGTTTTGGCTACACTAAAAAAATATAAGTAAATTTACAAAAAGTAACACAGATATATTACAGAATTCTTAATAACCGAGTTAAGTTCTGCCTAAGTCAATTAATAACAAAATTCCATACGATGCGGACTAATATTTTTTTTGGGACATTACAGTAATTTTTAAAATGTTTCTTTAGGATTCAGTTTCGTATCCACTTCCATCCCGATTGCACGCCTTTTTGGACACCCCATTTCGACCTATAGTAACGCTGTTTTTAAGCTTTTTCGAGTTTTTAACTCTCGACAATTCGGATGAGATCGAAAAAGCCAGTAAAGCGACACAGGAGGAATTGAGTAGATTAACTGAAACCCTTGAAAAGAAATTGAATACGAAATCGTCCGATTTTAGAGAGAAAAGGAAAGGTGTCGAGAGGATAGTCAATACTGTTGAGGTTAGTCGATTATGCTTCGAAAAATTATTGTGTTCACAATACAGAGAAATAAGTAAACCTAGAGGATCATTTAACGTTACGTAACCGGTATTTCTTTAATATCCGTTTTGGGATGTGTCTATGATATAGTCTATAAAATGAATAACTTTGAATTTTGACCGTTATTTTTTACCAACATGGCAAATATAAAATCCCTCTGTCAAAAAAGTTACTGATATTCTTTAAATTGAGTGCCTGAACGAATCAGATAGGTAAGTCTTTTTACTTTCGTGAAATAGTAAAGGAAAATAATAAAACAAGTGACAGTTCTTCCTTTTCTTGCAAATATCAACACAAAATGTAATAATTGTCAAAAGCAAATAAGTTTAAATTACCTATACCGCGGCCTCCCCATAAGAGCAATGAGAGAATTTATGTCCCAGTATTGAAGGAGGACAGAAAATCGAGTCGAATGGTTTCAAGACATAGGTTCATCCTTGTTTAGTCAAACCTCCTACCACACAAGGATAGACTTATGTAGGAAATGCATTGAAATTCTACAGCCATCCTTTAACATCGGGACAGGAATTTAAGCGGTACCCTCCGTATAGGTACTTTAAACGTATTTGGTCAAAAGTAAAATGTCATCAGCTTTTGACATTTCTAAATATCAGACCAATGCCGTCTCTAATAGAACAGCCTGGGAGCGAGATTTATTACGTCACGCTAGTTAGATACTTACGGATTAATAAATATGTTGTAGAACACATGGAAAACATAATTATTCCTCGTATTTTTGGTTTGTATTTTAAAAATGATATAGTTTACATGATTGATTTTAACGTTCGGATACTGATATGTATCGCATCGTGAAACGATGATGAATTATGACATTTTATTTACCTAATGTCTAAAAAGAAGGGTGAATGAACAAGCTGGATAGGAATTCCGTAGTTCGGTATTGCTTTAAATTTACTCTTTAATATGTTGACACTCTGATTTAATACTGTTTATAATTTAATGGCGGGTTCATTTCTCACAATAAAAATTGTAGTAAGCTACTGAAACAAAAATAATGTAAAAAATAAAATAAATATTATTTGTAAAATACCCCTTTGTTAGAATCCAAACAGAAATTAGCTTGTCAGTGGCTCTTTGGCTGTAAATAAATTTGCCGAATCAATATAATACGCCTAACGTTTTAGGGGATATTTTATATACGAGCAGGGTTTATTGTTCCCTGTTGTCAGCAACAAAAGGAAAAACAAAAAGAATCATATACATAATATACAGTTAATAAATACAATTTATAGCAATAAATACTTTGGCAAATAAACTATGAACCATACAAATGCAGCAAATGATTTACAATATACATATAATGAATAGGTACATAAGATAATAGGTAAAATGTAAAATATATTATAAATTTTGGGGTTTGAAAAGCAAATAAACTATGAACCATACAAATGCAGCAAATGATTTACAATATACATATAATGAATAGGTACATAAGATAATAGGTAAAATGTAAAATATATTATAAATTTTGGGGTTTGAAAATCGATCTAATTTAACAAAAAACATTCAATATCCACTAATAGTGATGTATTATTATTTGCATTCACAAAATTTATATATATATATTTTGCAAGTATCAATGTTCGAAAATTTAAATATTTGCAAAAATATTTATTAATATTTGCAAATAATACAATATCATAAAAAAAGGCGTCAGCAATGGCTATGAAATAATCGCTGTCATTTTATATGTAAAATTATTCTAAAATTTTTGATTTTTTTGGGATTTAGGTTCGGGAAAAACGTTGATTAAGTTTTCATTTTTGGATTTTCATTATTTTTTTTCGTAAAAAAAAACGTTTTGGCTAACATTATAGCCTTCATCAGTGTTGTGTCATATGAAAAAAATAGTGTCGAATATAATCCAAAAAATTACATATATAAGATATTCACAACCTAACCTAACACCACATAATGTTTACTGCAATTAATAAATTAATATGAATTTGTCAAAAGATGACCACATATTTTTTAAAATTATTATTCTTAACACTAAAACTATCTACATTGACTATGGAGTACGATTTCAGCCATAATCAATGTAACCAAAAATACGAGAAATAATTGTTTTCCATGTATTCTACAACATATTTATTAATCCCTAGTATCTAACTAGCGTGACGTCATAAATCTCGCTCTGAGGCTGTTCTATTAGAGACGGCATTGCATCAGCATGGCCGTAAGTTGCTAACCTAATAAAATTAACACTAGAAAAGTCCGCGGGAACTGTCAAATTCAAAGTTATTCGTTTCACAGACTATATCAGTTCATGTTGTTTGGAAAATTTACTTTAAATAATTGTTGATGTTGAGATTGAATATAAACCAATGTGATTTACATGTCAGTGCGCCTCTGCGTTTACCTATTTCTTTGAGGTTTTCTTATAGTGTGGTATTCTTAATACTGGTTTTTGACCATTGAATAAAAAGGCTAAGAGCACGTTCATATTGGCTTCGCTCTAGCGGAGCGGTGTGCTTTGTGCGATGTCTCTCGAGATTTTAGATGTAGATTTTAAATAAGTGTGTTCACAGTGTAGAAAACGTACGAGCCTTGCGGCGTGTTACAACGCATCGCGCTGCTCAAGCTTTCGACTTGCTTGAATTTGGAGCTGCGTCGCTGCTACTGTTCGAACGTTTCATTATATTTTAATGATTGTAAACGTGTCAAAGAAGAATTAGTGTACCATACTTGCCGCGAAAAATGACATTTATGACAAATAATAAAGATTATAAATTCAACGTAGAGTTGTTAAAACTCTCATAAAGAAAGCTCAACATACTCTGCAATTGTGCAACATACCGTGTGTCCAAAATGAAACGTCAAACAAAACTGAAAAAAGAATATTTTTTAAGACGTTGCTGTCCTTCATGTATGAATATAAAAATAGTATTAGCGTTGATTGAAAGATTTAGGAAGATACGCAACCTAATGAGCGAATTCGTGACAAGGCTGATTTGATTTCCCCTTACGTCTCAAGTGCTGTATGGTGGAGCCTCTACTCGTTCTGCGGCCAAGGCATAAAACACCCGTTTTCTCTATTTCGGCTAGCGAAGGCATATTGAAGACGGTGTGGAACTGGAAGCGACAGTGTTGCCATGTTAAAATGTGTAATATCTGTAATACGTTTGACGAAAATATCTTTGGATGAAAAATCCGCGTTTATGTATGAAAATTTATTCGTCGTGTTAAACAAGAATAAACAACAAAAATAAAAATTCTTTTATAGGTACTGAATATTTCGTATGATCGAAAAAAAGTCGTTTGGTTGGCTTGGAAATGATGAGCTGTTGACATTTACCATAATATTTTACATATTATGAAATAATAGCGATCTTCATTTCGAAGCCCACTCGGGCGCCGTTCTTTGTTTAATCCTATAATATTATATTAAATTATTTAATTATGGAAAATTCGTATTATTAACGTACTGTATCCAAAATCCGCAAATCTACGGATTAATCCGTAGTTCTGGCAACACTGTCTCCGGCGCTTACCCACTCTGTCGGCTAAAAGCAGAACTATGGTCCAGTATTCTTTATCCGCTGCGCTGTAAACGATTAGCGCGCAGTGGCGCAGAACTAAACTAAATCTCGCACATATAACGGTAACTCCAGCTACATCTGGGACATATTTTGTGCCACGAAATCGCCCATAAAGTTGCGCATCTTCTTATTTCTTCAATCAACGGTATTAGACAGCTTTCTTAGTTTTTCTATTCAATGGTTTCAAAATTTGTCAGCTAATAATAAAAATAATCTCATTCCTGTAAATTTTAGTACCTTCGCAGGAAATCTCATCCGTTTTAAAAAATATATACAGGGTGGTCCGAACTGTATTCCGGAAACTTCGGCCGCATATTCGGCAGATAAAAATAAGTAAAAAAGTTCGTATAAATATATGTCCTAAAATGCTTAGTTTCGGAGATGCAGGGTGTAGAAGTTTCATTTTTATTTCAATTTTTTTCAAATAATTTCTTCTGAAGTAACGTCAATATTTAGGTGAAAATTGGTGTCTGGAAAAGTTTTTTGACATGAGAAATTTGATTTTGATATCAATATGATTCCTATTTGTAGGGGGCGCTACCTACATGTGTGAAGAGTAATAACTTTTCGTCCGTACCGGTATAAAACTACTGGGTAAAAAATATACATTTCCGTGATTTTTTACGCAAAAAATGTCTCTTAGTATAAATCGCTACGAGCAACTGTTCTGATATTTAGAATGGAAATAATCAATACATGTCATTGTAAATTTATATTTTTGTCGTTATTGACAAAAAATAATCATGTCGAGTAGATATTTGACTGAAATGATAAATTTGGGAACTTTTTTTTTAATTAATCATATATTTTTCTTTGAAAAAATGATGATAAAATAGTTTTTGTTGAACTTTTGGCACAAAAACTTTTGGCTTATGATTTCAGTCTAACAACTATTATTTCGTCAACATGTTTAATTTATGTCAATGATGATAGATATTGATAATTTCAATTCGAATTATTTCGAGAACCATTATTCGTAGCGATTTTTACCAAGAGTCCTGTCCTACGTAAAAAACGTTGTAAATCTATATTTTTTTATTCACTAGTTTTATACAGGTACGTACGAGAAGTTATTACTCTTCAAACCAATTAAAAATATGTAGGTGGCGCCCTCTATAAGTAGGAGTCATATTAACATAAAAATCAAATTTCTCATGTGAAGAAACTCCCAGACACCAATTTTCATCGAAATATTGACGTCACTTTAGAAATTATTTGGAAAAAATTTAAATAAAAATGAAATTTCTAAACCCTGTACCTTCCAAACTAAGCATTTTAGAACATACATTTATAGGAACTTTTTTACTTACTTTTATCTGTAGAATATGCTCCTGAAGTTCCGGTTACAGTTCGAACCACCCTGTATATCGTTGAAACAGTGTTAATATTTTAGGCACTTTGTATTGCTTGCGTGATGTGCCTCATGTGCAACGAACTAGTGAAACCTCCTCCGCAAGGCAAAAAGGCGAAAAAGAAAAACCCGATCGAATCTAAACTGAAATGCCACTTGGACCTGATCATAAACGAAATTAAAACTCAAATAAACAAAACTAGTGGCTTGGTAAATGGATTGTGCGGGGAAACGGACAACAGGGACTTGGTTACGATTTTGGACTCTTTGAATCTGAACACCGACTGTGCCACGATCCGTAAAAACATTCTGTTGAGTTATCGCAAAACGCGTAACGAAATTCAAGACGTGCTCAAGAGTAAACTCAAGTGTCTTGACAGTTTGTAGGCGAAATAAATTAGTGTGAGTGTGCGTTTGCCATAGTTTTACAGTTGCGGGCGGTGGTGTATCCTTCCGGCTTTTATATGTGTCAAGTAATTACCTTAGGTTTTCAATATGCTGCTGTTAAAGAGATGAAAGAAGTGTGGAAAATCTTATTAATGGACGGAGTACAAATAAAATTGTTTTTGAGCCATTACTGCTTCCAGTCCATTGACAATAAAGAATAATAATTATCTATAGTTCTTCTAATAGAACATTTCTCATCATGTCATGTCTTGAATAAAAATAAGGTGATATAGTCTGTACAATTATCGTTTAATGTTATTTCATCATTATTTAGTCAATATTTGTTTTAAAGGCTCTGTTTATATTGTCCAGAAAATTTCAAGTATGTTCCGAAATTTGTAATTGAGCGCGTTCTGATTTTAATAACTTCAAGTAGGTATTTTTGAAACGTTATTTATTTTGGTTCTGTTTCAATAGATTATATTAAACATACATACAAGGGTTGTCTTCTATGGTTTGCATATAGAGGTAGAAAAAAAGTAGATAACTTTAAGACACTATTGTGTTTATAGAGAAATACATTTTTGCATCTTGGAGCCAATTCTGAAAGCAGTTATGCCTCTCACTTGTTACCTTCAAAATTCCGTTTTTGAAGGAGCTGATTGCATCTTTTGGGGACTGGAACCTTTGACCACGGAGTTCATTCTTAATTTTTGGAAAAGTAAAAAACCTTAGGACTTAGGTAGGGACTGTATAGAGGGGGGTCCGACAATTCGATGTTTTCTTGCTTTAAAAACTCAATTGTTTTTCAAATTGTGCGGGAACTTGCATTATCTTGGAGCACCATTCGTCGTTGAGGGTTGGTTTTCTGGCAAACAAATATATATGTACCAATCGGCAGTAACAGTTCTTTGATTTTGCAGAGGAATTCTTGTTACATGACCCGCTTTTTTTGAGACAAGTGTCGCCACCATCTTTTTGGAAACACTTCGAGAACGGATAACTTTCGTCGGATTTGGTTCATCTCAAAACACCGTCAAAACACCCAAACAGCCGATTAACGTATATTTTCTGGTTCATAAGAGTAAATCAAGGATTCATCACCATTGACAAAACAGTGTATGTATTTTTTGATTTTTCTGCATGTTTTTTTATACCAATGGACTCTAATTGCTTTCTGTTCTTCCACCAACAGATGCGGTATCCAACGAGAAACTATTTTTTTACAGATCTTCATGTAAAATTTTTTGAATTGAGTTCTTTGAAATGCCCAATGCCAACATGTTGATCTTCTTGGATCAACCTACATACAGCATTGACGTTTTCCAGGGTGACTACCGTTGTTGGTGGACCTGTTCTTGGATCTTCGCTAAGACTAGTCCACGTTTCAATTCTCCATACCAACGAGAAATCGTCGATTATTGTGGTGCTTCATGTGGTCTAAAACTTTGGTGTTAACTAAATATGACAGTTAATTTTGACATTTGAATATGTTGACAGACGCCTACTATGTATATGCAAAATATAAAAGACAATCTTCATACCAGTTTTAGTAATATATATTTTTTTTAATATTTTATGTAACAAACGGATATGAATTTTCTTTGTTAATTAGAATCATAACCACAAATGTTAAATGAAGGCTACTAGAGACAATACTGATTTATGAAATGCCATAATTACATAAATGTAAAAGTCATATCAGTAAAAGAAAACAAGTCTTTATTCAAAAGTAAAAAACCTGTTTATAACTTTCTAGACAAGTTGTATTTTTATTGTCTATTAATTTTTTTAAAGTCCATTTGTTTTTATTTGTCAATGGTTTGGATTCAGGGCCACTTGCACGTAAAATCACTTTTTTGCTTTATTACTTTTAACTAGATTTTTTCTTTTAAATCAGTTTTCGGTTTTACTGTACTTCAGTCTAAGAATTATTTGAAAATTTACTCCCAGTAAGTACTCAAAAGAGTTATTTATTCATATCCCCATGTTATTTTCCAGCAATATGTAAAAACTATTTTAGGGAGTTTTTATACATTACTAATACAATATGATCTAAAAAAAAACGGCGTCAGCGACGGCTATGAAAAAATGAAAAATCGCCGTCATTTTATGTGTAAAATTATATGGGAAATGTCATCGGCGCCTTTTTTTTTATACAATATTATACATCAAATAGATCATTTATTGATTTTTAATTTTTTGGACAAACCAAAATTTAAAGTTAACATATCAGATGTAAATATTATTCGTCATATTATACTTAATTATTATGAGTGCCATTCTGTAACATCTTCAAAGTAATAAAAGAAAAAGATAATATGAACCGTGATTTTTCATATCTATTTTATGCATATCTTCATACCTATTTTAAAGAAACATTCATAAATGCATGGTGTACGATCCTAAGAACATTTTATTCATATATAGATTTGGTGCGATAGAAGCGTGGTTTGGATTTTAATATGTAACAGAGATGGAAGACAGACATATTAAAAAGAGAAAAAACTTGGGTTGATACATTCCTTCTATTTGGTATTGCCAGATCTTGCTTCAAAATTTCAAACCGCTCAAGTTAGCGTTTACGGAAAATGTCGTTTCTAGGGTTGTATCTATAATTTCCACAATTAGTTACTCATTTAACTACAACCGTAATAGATGGCGTAATTAAGCCTCGGTCTGAGACAACTACAAAAACAATCGTAGTTGTTAGTTTTGTAACCAAAGTCAAAATTTACAGCTGTTTGAATCTAGTACAAATTGTGTTGGTTCTATGGCGTGTAGCCCATCACACTGTGTAGTTTTAGAGCGAAGCTTTACACCTTAAAATGTGATAACTGGCACTATTTCTGAACTAATAATGGACAAACCAATGAATATTTATTTCTATGGTAAAGAGTGGCCGCAGATAATTTGTTACAAGTTTTCAAGAATTGATTATTATTATTTAATAATAATAATCTAGCTATTTAGCTTAGATATATTATCTTCGTTTATTATGGTATTTCACGTACGGACCGGCAACACTGTATGCCGCTTTTTATTTTTTCTCTGTTTGTCAACTAGTCATATATATTTTTCATATTATATCTCTGACATATGCATTAAAATACAGACCATGAAAATAAAGTGACCAAAATCATATTTCTACACAGTGTGAAATTAAAAAAAAATACTTTTTCGAATTAGGAAAGCTTCTATTAAAACGTTCCCTGTTAATGACTGCTGTAAAAATTTTATTTATTTTCTTACATTTGGCCTTTTTACATTTTTTTACCTGAAAACATAGTTGTTGACAGCGACAGTTCTTGTCTGTTGTTTTAATTCACAGTTATATTATGTTTTGAATGTCGTCTCTTGATATCTCCCGGACTCGTTGGACAACCCTTATCCTACTTTTTAGAAAGATATCTTCATTCATATGTTAAAATGTTCTTAGAGGTCGTGACTTACGGCATCTTTTAAATTTAAATACATACTTGGCATTTATAAATCAAGGTTTAGCAAAAATTATCGAATTTTAATTGGTTAATGGAGAACAAATTACACACGGGAATTGATTAGAGCATTCCAGCAGTCAATCTCCATTAGCAAGTATTAGAAGAGGGCTAAAGTGGTAATTGTAATTTTCCATAATGTGATTATCATGTGATCTATTTACGGGCTAAGCCTAAATGAGTTTTTCATAGATGTCACAATTTTCTAGGTAGATAAGGTTTACAACAACTTAGATAATTTGTATAATTAATTAATACCATGTTTTACCAGTGCTGCTTATTTATTTACAAAATTATTCTGGCTGGTTTAAGCTTCAGTCATTAGCTTTAGATTAGTAATAATAAAACTACTTATAAATATATTTATAATTTTATTTTTTAATAATTAAATGTGGTACGCCACTGGAAAATTAGATTTTTTATATGCCTATTTTATAAATACATGAAAACAAGTCTGAAATCAGAGTTTACTCTAATCGCGTAGTATAGCCTAGACAACTTGACGCCGCGCGCCGTTTACAAAGCAGTTTTTTTATTTTACACATGGAAAGTTGAAAAAACATATTTTCATGAAAATGACAGAAGCATAAACTGGCCCTCATTTGTTTCTCTAGAATTGTAGGTTATGTATACCCTCTATAGGCAATTGTATTAAATGTAACTGTTAATTACGATTTGTACATGTATGTAAGACACTGTGACTCTAATTTTGCTTGTTTGGTAGGATTACTACCGCTGCAATACTTTTGTAAATAATAATTTAATAAATTAGTTTTTTTCTATTTTATATCAATTTTTTTAATTGACCGACATTGAAATGGCGACAACCAGTGGCGGATCGATTGAGGATAAGTGATGATTTTCATATATTTTCAGTACTTCCGTCCGTTATATTTTATATTCAGTACTTCCGTCCCTGTATCTGAGTCAGTTTCTGATCATTGTTTGATATATGTTATATTTACTCTACAAATATCCCATAGCTCTACGAAATATATTGAATATAGAGATTATAATCATATTAACCAGGAAAATTTTAAAAAAGATGCAATTATGTTACCTTGGGAAAATATTTTTTATATAGCGGATATTAATATTAAAATAAAAACTCTATATGATTACATTTTTTATCTCCTCAATAAACATGCACCGTTACAAAAGAAGAAAATCGCAGATAAACCATATTTACCCTGGATAACGGATAACATTAAATTATTAATCAAACTTAGAGACAAAGCACATCAAAAATATTTAAAACAACGATCTGAAGCCAAATTACAATATTATCGTCAACTCAGGAATTTTACAAAACATGTTATAGTTAGAGAAAAAATTAGTTATTTTAAGGGTTTATCGGAAAAGACTGGTAAAGACTTCTGGAAAGATGCTAAACGACTTAAGTTAACATTTAAATCAAGTCCGGAAGTTCCTGAAAACTAAGCGGATGTAGATAAGCTTAATATTTTTTTTTCGAACTGTCAGAATTGCATTAATAGTGCATCAAATAAAAAAATTGATTTTTATAGACAAAATAAGCATGAAAAAATAGGGCATAATGTTCTAAATTTCAAACTAATAGATGAGGTATCGTTACATCAAATATTAAATTCTATTCGGTCTAATGCTGTCGGTGAAGATGATTTATTCTATCAATTAAAACACTAAAGCTGTGCATGCCTTACTGTGGTAAAGCGGTAATAAATATAATTAGTACTTCTATTTTAGACAATGTCTATCCCGAAATATGGAAAAGAGCTATTATAACACCTCTCTGTAAAATTTCCAAACCTTTAAATAACAACGATCTAAGACCCGTGAGTATATTGCCAGCAATTTCTAAAATTATAGAAAAACATCTACATAATCAAATTGTTTCATTTGTAGATTCAAATAAACTAATACCAGAATGCCAATCTGGTTTTCGTAAGAACTACAGCACTATCACTTGTTTACTGAAGCTGGTTAATGATATTAGAACAAATCAAGAAAATAAAAATATGACGTGTCTTAGCTTACCAGACTTTAGTAAAGCATTTGATACTCTAGACCATTCATTGCTCCTAGCAAAATTACAGTATTTTGGATTTTCAGACGGCTCTTTAGAATTGATAAAAAACCTTTTAAAAGATAGATCACGTTATGTTTCATGAAACGGGGAAGTTTAAAACAAAAATCTAGTTATATTCCTATGATTTCTGGGGTTCCTCAGGGATCTATTCTGGGGCCATTTTTATTTTCGTTATATGTAGCTGATATGGATAAGGAATTACAGTTTTCTAAATTGCAGCAATATGCAGATGATTCTCAAATTTATTGCAGAATAGATACTAATAATTTGGCAAAATTTCAGTTAAATTTTAACGACGATCTTAATAAAATTAATAAATATGCTCTGGATCATAATTTGAAATTAAATGCCGGTAAATCTTGTGTTATAGTATTTGGTAGTGATATAAACAAAATTACAAATACGGCTGGTAACATGAATATCCATATAGATAATTTTGCGATACCCATTGTTACAGAGACTAAAAATCTTGGAGTCTATTTTGATGCGAAGCTTTCTTTTCAGGCACATGTAACTACTAAATTAAAGGCTGCTTATATACGGTTGAAGAATTTTTCGTCTCTTAAGAAATATATACCATCAAAGACTAAGTATCAATTATGTGACACACTTATTTTATCTTTATTTGACTATGGCGATGTTGTTTATGGTACATCCATAAACGCTAGATTCTCTAGAAAAATCCAAATACTTCAAAACTCGTGTCTACGGTTTTCTTTTAACATTCCTTTTAGAGATCATATAACGCCACATCTTAAAAATTTATCTATTTTATCCATGACTAACAGACGACAATTTCATTTAATGATATTCATTTATCGAATTTTAACTACAGAGCAGCCTCCCTATTTGTTCTCATTGTTTCACTGCGTTGACCATGATCATTCGACTAGACAAGTGCATTATTTTAAAATTCCTCAACACCGAACAGCTAACTTCCAAAAATCTTTCAGTTTCATAGCGCCACATTTGTGGAATAATATTTCTAATAACTTTAAATTTCAATCCTTTACAGATTATAAAAAACTAAAAATCATTTACTAAATTCGTAAATATTATAATTTCTTCGAATGATTTGTGAGATCTTGTTCTTCTGATATGCCCGTCAGCCCGTCATCGGTTGCTGTTCCGGTTTTTTAAACTGTTTCAATATGCCTCTCTGCTTATCTCCGCTCATCCCTGATAAAATTATATTTTCACTTTTTTTATATAATTTTAATTTTGTTTATTTCTATAATTTAATTTATTTCTATTTTGTATTTGGGGTCGCCTCCAAATACGGTTTTTTAATCGCGGTGCGATCCCTTTAGACACACATTTATTAATACTAATATTATTCTGTAAAACTTAATGGGGTCTAATAAAGAAATTTGAATTTGAATTTGAATATACAGTGTGAGCCAAAACTTTTTTTTTACTTTTTACGGAGGTAGAATTAAATACAAAATTAAGTAAAATGCTCAAAATTTTATTATTCCACGAAACAACATACTTACAAAAAATTGTAACTTATAATAAATAACAACAAAAAAAAATGAAAATCGGCCACAACATCTAAAGAAAAAGAATTAAAAACATATGTATACATTTTTGTTCTGGTGTGTTAGGCAACACACAAAGAAGAAATAAAAAAATTAATCTGAATACTTCACAACACAATTTCAATTAAAAATTGTAATTAAAATCAAACACTCTTCACACAAAACACCGACCTTCGTGTTACAAATATTTTATACAAGGTGAGCCAACAATTTTGTATTGTTGATTTTCTATAGAGAAATTGGAAAGACTATTTAATTACTGGTATATTCTTCTGTTACTTTATAACTGGACCGGATCAGTAATCTAAATTTTCATTGATTCACCCTGTATATATGTAGGTATGTATATATATTCAATAAATAACGAAATATGCAGTCGAGTACCCTTAAAATATTTAGGCATGTTCCTAATCCTAATTAATAAATTTAGTGAGCTCAAGAAATATATATTTTGAATGTCTAAATTCCTTATATTTAGTAAAAAACAGTCTTTGCGTATATACCTTCCTGTAAATATTGTTCTGGTCGCCATTAGATTTACAAAATAAAATAGCTATGTTAAAAAAAACATAGAAGGCTGTGTAATGAGTTGGAAATTACTCATGTAGTTTTGTCACAGCTGACATTTGTTAGTGCAGCCTCAATTGACATTCCCTAGACGTTCATTTTTTTTAAAGCACGGCCCACTGGGATTAACAGATATATATCTGAAAAACGTTGAAAACCAATAATTATTATTGAGAACATAAAACGTTCTGTAGAAATTTTCTTTGATTCTTTGTTCATTCAAACAAATTTTTAGGTTGTATTTTTTTTCAAAAAATCTCTGGTGTGATCAAAATAATGTATGACTAAAGTGTGACCTTGAATTTGTTTTATTTTTTAAAATATGATATCACGTTTGTTCTTTCATTCTAAAACACGTTATTGTAAAATTATTGAAAAGTTGTTTGGTGTGAAAAATAGGTGTGATATTCAGTCACAGACACATACTATAAAAAATCTATCGAACGGTTGTTATTTTTTCACGATATATTAAGAATCTTTTTGTTTATGCACATTTTGGAAAATTCGATCTATTTATTCTTGAAATTTCCCTTTTTCGATTTCCCCTGTATATAAATCAATATACTTAAAATTTGACTATTTGCAATTTGTCAAATATAAGCCTCATTCCGAACCTCGCAATTAGTGGAATAAATTAGTGGTTTCAATTACACTTTATACTTTTTAGTTTACGATCGTTCACAATGTCTAAAAAACACAATTAAAATTAATAAAATATCCTAGCAACAGCTTGCAGTAATCAGTTGTATCCATAGAGAAAGCCTAATATTTATCTTATAGAACAATAAACTTTTGGTTTCTAACCACATTTTCTCTTGGCGGATGATAATCAAAGGCCAAAATGAAATTCTTCGCAAATTTTGAAGTGTAATTAGTGAAAAAGTCAAAGTATGTTAACTTTTTCCCCTAACTGAAAATTCCTACCACTAATTTTAACGTTCTGAATGCTTACATTCAAATTAGAGGAATACATTTCTACGCTAATTGAAACCACTAATTTTTTCTACTAATTGCGAGGTTCTGAATGAAGCTTTAAAGATATAATATATTGTTTACAATATACAGGGTGTTCCAATAACATGTTAATATTTAAGGGGGCGATTCATGAACCTATTCTAAGAAAAGAACTTTAGGTACAGGGTGGTAAAATTAAAAAAAAACTTTTCATAATATTTCTGATGTACCTATGCACCAAATTTTTTTTTGGTTGTATGTTCTTTAAGTGCTTTTAAGGAGGTGACTTTTGTTCATGTAAATAACTGTTTATATATTTATAATTAATTCATCTTTGTTTCCTAAATTTTGATTAAAAGAATATATGTAAAAGTCGGCAACGCTGTGCCGGTCAAGTTTAACCACGTGACCATAAGTTTATTTGGTATGATCTATACATTTATATGTTTTTTGTTCTTTGAATAGACAACGCCGCACCTCTTATCAAAAAACAATCATAATACAATATTTCTACAGAAATAAAAAATAAAAACCGTTTTTTTTTCGTTATTGTCAAAATTAAATATTTATAATCGATGCTACTTTGACTAGAATCGCCGCACTATATAGAGATAAAAATTGAAAAGCCATACAAAATATATCAATCTTTATA